TTTGTAAATATATGTTATAATGACCGATGAAATGGTCAAGTTATCCTAATTCCATTTATATGTGTCATGATCACTTCATCCGTTTGTCATCAAGTTAAATACATATTTTATAAATATGACAATATTTTCTCAAATCCGCTGCCTCTTCCACTCCTACCATAAATGACCCTCGGCCCTCTCACTATTTTCAGTCTGGCTTTTCTCCCCCTCCCTCTTCATCACTCCAGCAAAAGCAGAACCCAAAGTTGCACTTTTTAGGGTTCCCCTCTCCCTTCAATTCCGCCATGGGAAAACCTCGAGACTTCTACGAGGTCCTCAACATACCCAAGAACTCTTCCCCTCAACGAATCCGCAAAGCCTACAAGACTCTCGTCAAGCAATGGCATCCCGACAAACATCCTATTTCCACCAAACCCGAAGCGGAAGCAATGTTCAAAGCCATCGCAGAAGCCTATGAGGTACTTAAAAACCCGAACTTTACTTACTTTTCCTTTTCCCCTTTCATTCCTTCTCAAGGTTTTCATGGCGGACAGCAGGCCCTTATTGAAATCCAGGGCAAACCGCTATTTGTAGACTATGACAGCGGTGGCGGAGTAGGAGCACCAAATCGTTCCCGGAGCAGGCCGCCGGCGCCGGCACCGGCTGCGAGTTTTCGCGGTGAGGAGGATAATAGGAAACCTCGCAGCCAACCTAAGGATGTGCACCACACGTCCTCTTCGCAAAAGTCCGGCTTTGGTTCTAATTCCGCTCCTGCATCGCGAAAGCCGCCGCCTTTGGAGAGGAAGCTGGAGTGCACGCTTGAGGAACTTTTTAATGGCTGCAAGAAGGAAATCAGCTTTGACAGAGATGTTGTTGTGAATGGGTATTTTATTCTTTCACTTAACTTTTTTTGTTTCAGATTCTGATTGAGCTTTTTATTATGCTGATTGTCTTGTGAATCTGAATTGTTGTTTTTAAACTCGTAAGATGATTGGAGGCTTTCAACTTTTTTTTTCTTTTTGTAAAAATTTTTGGGGTTCTTTTACTGAATTCTCAGCATTTAAAAGCAGCGCAGTAGAGCTTCAATGAATTTGAAGAGATAGCAGTGTTGCTTAAGGGTTCAGCAATGAATATAGGAGGAAGATATATATTTTCTTTAAAAGAATACATCTTTGAGTCTTTTACATGGCGGATTAGTCTTTATTTGGTAAATGTTTTGTGTATCCTGTTTCTATTTAAGCAAAACAGAAATAAAATTAATTAAAGGCTGTTTGGTTTTGCAGTCGGAAAATATTCAATTGTATGAATGCAGAAAAACAACTTAACATGAGAGGTTTTATGAATTTTAGAT